GTTGTCACTTGCCTTAAAAACTAAAACGTGATCTCCTTGGTTCTCTATTCTTACACTATACTTCTCTGCTTTGGTCTACATGACCAAAATCCTTCATATGAAAACTCCTTTCCTTAGTATCCAAAAATCTTCTTCAAAATTGTTCCTAAATAAAAAGCACATGAAGCTAAGGATTTTCATGGTAGAGAGTGAAGTAGGAAAATCGAATACAGAAAGTGAATACATTTTTAAAAATGTATTCACTCAACTAGGGGAGTTTTGCTAATGTCATGGATCATAGAGCAAAAACTAAGAAGAAACTGGCAGATGTAGGGCTGTATCGGTTGGCATCTCTAATCTAATTGCCATTTGGGCAATGTGACAAGTCCACCTATATAAACCATCTGTTAGTTCTCTCACTCCATTTCACGGCACATCATTTGGACAAGGAAAAACAAAAACACAAAATGCTTAGAGCCAAACAATGCAGTGCTTTTGGATATGAAATTTTCATGTCGACATAGTCTGTATGAAGTCCATTAGTTCATTCAGTATCTGAAATTAATTACATACTGTATATATTTTGCTGGGATTTTTTTTTTTCTTATTCTTCTATTTTTTAATCAACATCTGGCTAAAATCCCTTTAAAAAATTAAGATGCCTAGGGAAGTTTTGCTAATGTTTTGAATGCTTGTTATACAATTTATGTTAAAGGCATTTTTTTCCTACAGTATTAAGCCGCATTTTTCTTTTTTTTTTTTTATTAGAAGCAAGAATAGGGACCTTCAATTGCTGAATTCAGAAAATAATATTGGAAAAGAGACCATTATATATTCAAAAGGTGCACACATTCACTACATTGTGCTTTACCTTGCTGTGCTTCTTTATCATACACTTTCATATGAACAACCCCAGAAGTCTTATTTCGTAGGACGGTGGGGTTTCTTCCATCCCTTTTGCTGCAGGTTCCCAGCTGAGCTAAGTTTTGGTCTGCCCACCACAGTTTCTTATCTACAAAAATGAAAGATTTTTTTTTTTAAAGAAAAAGATAGTCATCTTATTAAATAATAATAAACAGCTATTAAACTATAATATTTTCTGATTTCTTTTGTTGTATTTTCAACTCTGTTTCTAAGGGAAACAGTAAAATCACTTTAACTTTTTAAAAATGCAAACCATAGTGACATTTGATTGTTCAAATTTTCCTCCGCCCTCTATAATTAGTGATCCTTGACTTTTCTTTTTCCTTGAAAGAGACATGGTATAAATAAAAGCATATTTTAAATTAATATGAAATACATGTTTTTGATTTACATACTTAACACATGAATGTAGTACCTTTATATTATATATGTATGTCAATGATAAAATCCAACCAAACATCTAAATAATAATTACAAAAAAGATATTGTTCTCCCAATTTTTATTTAAAGTGTGCAATGCTTTTGATCATTGGTACTATCTATTGCTGTGGTTTCTTCACAGTTAGAGTAACCTCTTCTATTTTTTGCACAGTTTGTGCTCTTTTGTCCAAAATTTATTAATTTACACTGTTCACTTGTATCAAGAGCTCATTCGGTGTTAGACAATGCAATGTGCAGCAGATTAAATAAAAAAGAATCCTGACCCTCAGACAGCTAGGATTCTAGTGAGAATTATGCATTTACTACTATATTTTCTCTAATTGTCATAGCAAAATTTTAAGGAACTGTTACTCTCATTTCATAGATGAAGGACCTGATCTTGAAAATAACTTAATAAAAATTACATATTTTATCTTTCTGTCTCCAAAACTTGTGTTCTTTCTGTCTACATTAAAATTTTTAAGATAATTCAATAATTTAAATGAAATGCATAATTTTAAAGATTTCAAACAGTTTAGACTTTTTCAAAAAGAATTGGTTGCATAGCCGATTAATATAATTGATGTCCATAAATTGCACACCTGTAAAAGTTGAACTGACAAAAAAAGGAATCTATTTAATAACAATTGAGACCACAAAACAATTTCTACCTAGACGTTCAAGTAAGCTCATTTAATTCTATTAGCAAAGCAATGCAGTCTATATCATCAAAGGATAATTATGCTCATTGCAATGCCATGATGTTTTGACTAAACCAGAGCTCAGTTGCAGTATTGCCAACAATAATAACATTGACATCAGTAATAATTATTGGATCTTATTTTCTTGCTTACCGAATCGTATATTGTACCAGGCTCAACTCTAGACACTATACATAGATTGATTCATTTAATCTTCACAACAACTCTACAAAGTAAGTACTACTATGATCATCATCCCATTTTACAGTTAACAACACTAAGGCAAAGAGAGATTAAACAATTTTCACTGGATCATAAATAAAATGGAGGCCTCAGGTTATGAATCAAGCATTAATTTCAGAGTCAGTGCTGTTAATCTTGTCTCTATACTGGTCCCTTTCATGGATGGAGTTGAGTCATCCCTTTCCCGACATGTTGACATGGAACTTAGCTTATGTTGGTGAAGCTAAGTAGCCATCCACTTATCTTATTATTTGCACCCATGAATTTGCATAAAAGCTGAGCGATTCATGTGATAAAAGTGATAGACTTTGACGGTTGCCTAAATGATCAATTAAAAATACAAGCTAGACCAACAGATTTTAATGACAGAGGACAAAAGTCCAATGATGTGGCCACTGCAGCTAACCTGAAAATAACTATCACTTGCTGAATTTTGGTATAGTTTTAAAGAAATATATGCCCAATTATCTGCAAACGCTATTAAAATAATTCTGCTTTTTTTAACTGCATATACTTTAAACAAAACATCTGTTGAACCAGATATGAAAATCTAGTTATATTCTATTAAGTCAGACAGTGAAGAGATTTACAAACATGTAAAACATTACTACTCTCCTCACATTTTTTTTAGAAATGATAATGATTTTCATTAAATTTCTTTATTTATATTGTGTTTACTTTAAAATAAATTTATAAAGAAATATTTTTTAAAAATTCTCAGGTTTAATTTCTAATATGGTGACTATTGATATGTATAACCCACATCAACAAAAGATCTTTGGTTTCCTCAATAATTTTTAAGAGTGTAAAGGGATCCTGAGACCAAAGAGTTTGAGGACCACTGTGCTAGGGATCTGCCAGCAAAAACAACAGAAAAAGTGAACATATGTTTGTGGAATTTCAGAATACCATGTTTAAGTTAAAACTTTTAAGAGTCCCCAAATGGGAAAAAAGTAAGTCACTTACAAAGAAACAAAAATCAAACTTGCATCAGACTTCTCTTCATTGGTGTTAGATACAAGAAGACAATGAAGAAATGCCTTCATAATTCTTAGAGGAAATTATAATCAAGCTAGAATTCTACACCAAGTAGAAGTAATTAAGTGTGGGAAAGGTGGGGTAAGTATATATGTGTATATATGTATATATATACACACATGTATTTATGTATATGTATATGTAAGTTCTTCTCCTATAAATGCTTTCCTAAGAAAAAACTGGAAGCTGAGCTTGAGTAAAATGAGAAAATGAATCAAGATAATGATATGAAATCTAAAAACAGGAAATTTAATCAAGGATGAAGGCAAAGGGAAGTACCAGAAGGTAAGGTATGCAGCAAACTTTAAAAAAAAAAAAAGGCTGTCCACATTGGACAACGACAATGGAAGGTTCTGGGACTAAGGTATCCAAGGAAGGTTGAGAGAGAGATAGGAGAAGGAAGGAAGGAAAGAAGGAACGAAGGAAGAAAAAGAAGGAACAAAGGAAGGAAAGAAGGTAAACATTCATATGAGTAGACACTATGTTTGAGACTTTAGAATAAATTTGAACATACTGTAAAGGCACTGATAGAATAACCAAAAATTAAATCTAGAAAATCAAAAGGCTGTGCAATTAAATTATGGCCCAAACATGAAGCAATTAATGAATGATTAAATCAAAGAAAGAGTATACAATTGGCCTTAAGGTTATTCCTTTTTTGCAGTGACCCAGCAGTCAAGACATTGAAACAGGAAGGAAAGAAATGTAATCTTAGCGTACCATTTGTTTCAGCATGAAACAATATTTACAAAGTCAAGATAAGTAAAATAAATGCCGTTTACAAGTTTTCAGCTTTTAAAGTCGGTTTTTAAATAAAGCACAGAAGGCTTGCTGTGGTTGCAGTAAAACAAAACAAAACCCGTTGCCATGGAGTCAATTCTGACTCACAGCGACCCTACAGGACAGAGTAGAACTGCCCCATAGGGTTTCCAAAGAGCTGCTGGTAGATTCGAACTGCTAATCTTTTGGTTAGCAGCGGTAGCTATTAACCACTGCGCCACCAGGGATATAAACGTTAACGATTTTAGCAATGTTAAAATAAAAGTATAGTTGACTAAAGTCATAATGCTCTTGGCTGCTTATCGAAAGATCAGAGGTTTGAGTTCACCCAGAGGCACCTCAAAACAAATGCCTGGTGATCTATGTCCTAAATATCAGCCAATGAAAACCCTATGGAGCATAGTTCTACTTGGACACACATGGGGTTGCCATGAGTCGAGTCAACTTGACAGCAACTGGCTAATTCTTGCTCAAGATTCTTTAATGAGTTGGAATCGACTCGACAGCAAGGGGTTTAGTGTTTTTGGTGGTTTAGTTATACACTATCTCAAATTGAAAATTCTCTATCAGGTTTTTAAGCCCTACATAATCTGAATTTATCCCACCTGATGAGACTCGTTTCCAGCTTCTGCTCAGTCTTATAACCTTATACTACTCATTCATTCATTTAATCAACGATTACTGGGCATCTGGAGGTGCAAGAGTTAAGCACTCAGCTGTTAAACAAAAGACTGGCATTTCAAACCCAGCCAGCAACTTTGCAGGAGAAAGATCTGGCGATTTGCTCCCATAAAGATTACAGCCTAGAAAACCATATGGGACAATAGTACTCTGTCACACGGGGTCGCTATGAGTAAAAATCTACTTGACGGCACATAACAACATTCTAGATGGTGGTAAAATGATGGAGAACAAGACAAATAAGATTGCTACCTATATAAACTATCTTCTAGTGAGGAAAGGAAGATAAGAAATGAGTAAAAAAAGTAGAAAATAAATAACTGTAGACTGTGTTTTGAAGAATATGGCACAGTCCATTCTTTTACTTACTTGGTTTCCACATCTTAATATGCATATAACTCAACTATACTCAGCCTTCATTTCTCAGGCGCAACCTTCACCCTCAGCAAAGTGTTTCAGACTAGCTGTGCCACGCTGACTCTTCCTTCTCAATGATTCTAAGGCCTTTACTGGTAGAATCACGTGGTTTTATATTCAATTAATTGTTTTCCTTTTCATTTGTACTAATTTTGACTCCTTATCCAGAGATGAAAGCTCCTGAGAACAAAGATCATGTCTTGTACTTCTTTGTATTGTTCACAATGCTTTGCATTCTTTTGAATGATGTAGATATTCCCAAAATACTTGTGAAATGATATGGGAAATAAATACCTTTAAAAATATCTCCCTTAACAATGCATAACTTTGAAAAAATTTAAATAAGACCTATCTCCCATTCCCTGATATTCTCTCTCTTAAATATCATTTAAAATATTATCTTTTAAAAATATCCATCTTATATAAGGAACTTTGTTTTGGACTGTGTGATTACTTAGAATCACATTTGTGTCTCTTACTTTATTTTCCTCTCACACTTCACAGTACAAAGATATCTTGAAAATATAAATTGAACTAAAGTATTATCCCCAATTAAAGACAGTTGCAACATGTATTTCAGTTAATTTTAATTATATTTAAAAATTATAATTATTAAAATTTAATAATGTTCATTTTCTTAAAATTTAATCCAACAATTAATAACTTACTTTTTAAATATTCAGAGTAAGAATATTTACTTATGAAAGGATTGTTGAAAACTGTGATTTAAAAAATTAGACTTTCTCAACACTAGCCATTTAAGTTTAAAATAGAAAATATAATGACCAGTAAAATCTGAATTTCAGAT